GGCACCAACGCTTCGTTCGTGGAGTCGTCGTCGTCGTTCCTTGTCCCTGTTTACTCACTCGCCTTCCTGTACGAACCGTCGTCGACAACAAATTCTTCGTCAATTCTGCCACCTCCCCCCCCCTCCCCGCGAAAGCTAGCGCGATGTCCGACCGACGTCACTCTCTGAGATGATGCCGACCAATTGTCAGAGGTGTTGATCACTTGTTGACCAGGTTGTTCATAAATAAGCATTGGTCGGTTTCGGTTCTGGTCATCGTGTCGAGTGCCGATCGATATTCGATATTCACGTAGCGCGCACCCTCATCCATCCTCCATCACCATCGCCATTTTGCTCGTCACCTCGGCAAACAGCCAGCCGGCTGCAGGCTATCATTCACGCGAATCCAACTCGTTGTTACAGGCGGAGGAAACTTTCGATAAGCTTCCCGCTCGGTCTCGGTTTCGGTCTGTTTTTACTGTGCAACAGAGTGCCACCGATCGATCGGTGGAAAATGCCGTGAAAGGCTCATCTGCGTACCTATTCATTTTCAACCTGTCCCTCAGCGAAGCATCACATCAGTGAGGCTGCGACAACGAACGGATAGTGGATTCTGAGCATCGCCGACATAGTGACAAGCTAAGCAGCAACATCACCGGATCCGGTGTAAACAAGATTTTGAAATCACAGTGGCGAAAACGATCACTATGCTTCCATGAGCCTCTGGTCATCGAAATTGGAGTCTCATTAATGCGCATTTGCATCTCATTTGAGGTAAGCAGGGATGCAACACATACCTCACCGGCAGTCCAAACTGAAGGCCGGTATTTACTGCACGAGCAAACATTTTCTTTCTTCGTAGCATGGACTTATATCCAATAATATCTCCTCTAATAAGACGAGACCATTGAATACAGTCGTCTTTGTAAACACTTAGCTGTGAGATAAACCCGGAAGGTGCCCCGTACCTGCTGAATTATATTTGGGACACTTCTCTTTCAGATACGCCCTACTTTTCTCACAGATTTGTTTTCTAGTCTTAGGATATTTGTCGCTTTTAGTTACTGTAATGCGTTTCACTCACTTCCTCATCACTGCATACCCAGTTGCCCACGCTTCACTTCATCGATTCTTAAATGCGTTGTCGACCAGCAGCTGAAGGCGAGGCAATAAAAAAAGATCATTATCTGCCATAGTGACGAATGTGAACTGAACTGAATTAAAGTACATTACGTTCGTAACAGCCAATGCTACCGTTTCACTGTAGTCAGCCAGAACATGAGAGATTACCAAATGAACAAAATGTTGAAACTCAGAGTGAGATCATTAGAGGTTTTCCATTGTGCCTATTTGTCCTCCATCTGCATTCTATATTCATTAAGCTTTCCGTTTTCGCCTACTGCTGGGTAACAACTCGAGCTGTTGTTTGTAGCGACCAATTTCGAGGTCCGTTTGTGTGTGCAGTATCGTGATGGCAGAGCACAGAGCAAACTCGCTGTCGCAACAACAACGACCGGTTTTAATATACTGTTCGTTCAATATATTCAACCCCCTCTATCACTCACTGAACACGGTTAAAAATAAGACGATGTCAGAGACTGCATAAGACAGCAGAGGACACTACGATGAGGTAGAAGGGCAGCTGAAAGGCCACATTTTCCGAAGTTCAAATGACCCAAGAAAACCTGAAGTAAACCGGCGTACGTTTGACGCTAGCAACATCACGACGGCTTAAAATCCGTCACTGACCAGCAGATGCTACATCGCATCTGTCGTCTGCAAAGCGACAGTGACCTCGTTTCACAAACAACCGTTAGTACAAGCAGTGCCATCCACTATAATTACTCAACGAACAAAGAGCAGCGACTTCGGTCAGATCAAGCGTCTCTGGTGGACGCGGGAAATGAAACAGAACCCCATTCAGAAAAGTAGTTATTTTTTGAAAATGCCAGCAGTAATCAAAAATGCAAATTACGTATCCTCTGTGGCAAGTTTCAAAAGTAAAGAGGTATTTTTTGAAGTTAGACTTCAGAAATAATTTATTGGATATGTTCGTAATAATACATTTAAATACAGATGTTCCTCGACTTATGACAGGGTATTGTAAGTCGAATATGACCATTATATGATAATAAACTAAATCAATAACTACTGCCATTTATAAGTAAATAAACGAATAATTACTGTAACTAACTAAATACTAGCGATTAGGAAGTTAAAATTAACTGCTGGAAGATGATGCTGTGGAGGAGACCATAGTAACAGGATCATCAATTTCTTTTTGTACCAATGATTCGCATACGCGAGCATAGCTCGTAGAAAGTAGTCGGTCGTCGACACTTGTTGATGGTTCAAGAACAGGCGCTTGCATCAATTTTTGACTGGACATTTGTTTCTTCTTTTCATTATGCATTTCTTTACAGCAAGCTAGAGTATGCTGGATTTGTCTTTCAAATTTTGCAGATCTCATAATCATGATCATATCGTCACCGTATGATACGCTGCTAAACTCTGTGTGATATGTTTACACTCACGATCGCTACAGCGATTGAGGACGATTCGATACCACACCATCGTAAAGTAGAAATACATGTAAGGTGAGGAGCATCTGTATTCAGTCATATTCACAGCTAAATAATTTGGAACGGAGTGAAAGTCTTAAACATGTACGATGGAATGAGCACGTCTTGCTAATCCTTCCAGAAAGCAAGGCGAAACAAGGGCGTTTCTGCTCAACCGACCAGTCGACACCCACCCTGGAGATGACCTGAAGAAAGTGTCTCGATGGACTCTGCTTCTGACTCGAGTGTTTTTCTGCTAAAGCTCAGACTCTGGCACAAGATCAGCAGCGTTGGAGACACTGTCTGAAGCTGCTGCATCCGTGATCCGAAAGAATAAACCGTCATCGACACTGAACGACTGAGAATGGATTGATGAGTGCCCGATCACACATTCTAGACGGTAACAAGATCCACTATAATCTCGCATCTAATGGTGGCATCCACCTTTCGAAGGTAAAACTTGGTTAATTGCCACTCTTTGGATGACGGCTATGTGGGAACGGAGTTCTTGACTTAAATTAGTTAGCAATTAGAAGTTGAGATTAAATAGGAAATAGTTATAATAAGCCGTAAAAAGACAGACTTACTTTGAGATAAAAGAACGAAGGAAATAAAACATAAATAGTTAAGCAAATAAGTACTTTAAATTTGATACTAGATACTTAGACGCCTAAGGAACAAATACGTCTATCCTAGACACTGAAAATGTATAGAAACTGTCTGTTTATACACAATGCAAGAAAACATTGGTTAATCTCCAAACTGACCAACTTGTTTGCTTGCATTGTGTATGAATAAACCATTTTTATACAGTTTCAGTCTTCAGTGTGATCACCAACGCAACCGAATACTCAACCTATTATTTCTTGTCTTTTCTTGTCTACTGATCTTGCCGAGAAATCGTTCAACTAAAAACAGTTTTTCCATTTACGTTTAAATCTTGTACTCATTCATAGGCAGCTATCAGGTGGATGAAGGCGAAATTGTAGCCGTAAAACGCAAACATCAGACAGTGACTTTCTTCCAGAACCATCCATTTTCTCCAGTGGCACTCTTTTCGAATAATTTTGCTGAAATTCCACTGACTGATGTGGTTTTCCATTGCGCTATTCTTCGCTGACGATTCTTTTGCTGAAGAAAGATGACGCTGAAGACGTCCAGAAATATCGATCTATCACCCTGCTGACAAGGTCTATACACGAATCGTCTTCAGCCGTGTTCCACAAGACCTGGAACTGCTAGCAAGTAAAGACACGCCAGCATCCGAACAGCGTTCTCCATGATAGGCCACATGCATGCCGTGAAAAAGTCAGCAGAGAAGTGCAAGGAACACCAATGCTCTATCTGCTACGTACTCATCCAGCTCAGGACAGAGTTCGATTCCATCGAGTTGAGCGCTATACTGAACGCCTTGCACGACTGCCGTGCCAAACCTGTCTACTGATGGTTTGGCTGACCTGATCGATGATCGAGCAAATGAATACTGACACCGCCACCGAAATCAAACGATTCGAGGAATCGGCTCGAATTAACATCGAACGACGAGTGCGCCAAGGAAACAGCATCTCTCTTGAGCTTTTAGCGACGGTGCTGCAGTCCCTTCCCTGTAGTCCTTCTTTAACGGTTTGAACTGGGACGACGGCATCAACGTCGACGGAGAACGGTTCAGCCGTTTACTGTTTGCATACGAGGTTGTCGTTTACGCCAAAGACTCGGCGTAACGGCACAGACACAGAAGGTGCCAAGGTGCGGGTGTAGAAGGAGCCACGCTCCATCAGTATGGAGATGAACATCTCTACGATGAAACGGATGCATAGCGACCACTGCTCCCAATGGTTATTATTTTCAGTGACTGAGGAACGACGTACATCTCGGCTACCCAATAAACTGCAACAACAACTACGAGTTTAGTGGGAGGAGGGCAGCATTGGAAAGTTTGAATCACTTCAACGCATTGTCGCTGGATAAAGAACCACCCATATCTACAAAGATAGAACCGCTTCGACCCCACCGTCCTACTCACAGGGA